GGGGGGGAAAAAAAACAAAAGCAATCTACCATGACTACTTTCTTCCCCTTGTTTTTTTTTCCTGGGTCCCAATAATAAACTTTTTTTAAATGGCCCAATAACATGTTTTGTCCTTTTGTTCGCTGATTCCGTTAATATTTTTGGAGTCATCTTGAAGACAGATTTAAAAAAAAAAATTATTATAATCTTTCAATTTTTAACTTAATTATAATTCATTCTTTTAAGTTTAATTTATTGTAATTCAGTACATCAAACTTAGTCATTTAAAAATTTTGTTCTTGACATGAGTCGGTTAGACTAAACCTGAACAAGTGTTACAAACATTGCTCACATGACATCCTTATCAGCAGCCCATCATCATATTCATGTGACACATAACTAGGTTGAGTATTATTCAAGCAAGGCTGAAATTTTTATACGAATCAAATTTGAAAGACTAGATTCCAACGAGTTAAACTTAAAAAATTGAGCCATAATTAAATTAAAAGTTAAAAGATTAAATAATTATTTTTTTTTTTTTTTAATTTATATAATTATATGCTGTGGGATATATAAAGTTAAATTGAAATATTGTCGAGCCTGAAATTCAAACTGTTCATCTTATTTAAAGAGAATTGAATCACTTTCACTTAACCTGGTTATTGTTCATTTAACACTAAGATTTTAATGTGTAACGATATCATTAGGATCCTGATTCCAGTGAATTTTTAATTTGAAGAAAATTCTAACCGTCCCATTTGTTTTCCATGCTGCAAAATCAATAGTAGTTAAGATAATTTTACAAAAGATTAAAAATAAGTGGATTATACTTGCTTTTCCTGTATTAGTTAGTTCGTTGGATTCTGGTACGCTTTTTGAAGTTTGTATGTCCTGATCTCCTGATAAATATAAATACAAAAATTTTGGTACAAAAAAAAAAACCTTGAATGCTTGTATTGTTCTTTTACCAACCTAACAATTTTTTTCTGTATCGGACTCTTTCATTAATAGTAAAATTATAAACATTAACACACACGCACACACAGTCTTGATGATTTTACAGCAGAAGAAATCATTAAAAAGCCACGAATGATATGACTTTTTGATATTGTAGAAGTAAAAAGAGAGACGTTTCAAAAATTTGACATGCATCAATAAATTTGAGCAGACGATTCTGTGTGATTCAATTTACATAAGGCGCAGTATTAGTTACATGTTTTGTCTTATTTTCTCCAAATGTTTTTGAAACTTCCCCGACTTTAGGTTGCAGATGATATAACGAATAAACAAAAAATTCATAACAATTAATGAAAACATAGGCTAATCTGGTCATATATATGAGCAAGATTTAAACACTTAATCTTATATACTTAATATGATATATTTTTATCTATTTAAATTAAAACAAGTAGATTTTAATGTGTTAAAAATATTAATAAAAATTTCTCATAAAACAAATAATAAAAAATAATACACATGTTCTTTAAATTCACATATTAAATGGTTTGTGAGCCACTTGTTAAATAAGTGGCTCACATTCATATATCATTTATGTTTCTTTAAAAAAAAAAAACCGTGACTTTTTGACTAAAAAGCTTCGACCTGAAAATTTTCTTTTCACAAGGAAGTACATATCAGAGAAAAAATTTGGAGTTTATTATTTTTCTCAATAGTTTTGCATCATATCGCTTGATCGATAGTAGTTACTTAATTAGTCACCTGTATATTGAATTTTATACTAATGCACGTATATAAAATGATTGTTTGAACTTCTTTGCATGAGTATCATTTATCAGTTATATCACAAGACATAAACTATAAAGATGACAAAAAAAAAAAAGCTAGTCATTACTAGTAAAATGAAATTTAGCGAGGGATAAATTTTTCCGTAAATATAATTTTTCCTCACTAATTTGCATTTTAGCGAGAGATTTTTATCCTTCGCTAAATTCATAACTTAAAAAAGCTCGTTAAATTTAATGAGAGATTGTATTTTCTTCGTTAATTAGCGAGAGATCAGTCCCTCACTAATCCCTCATTAAATATATCTATATTTAAAAACCATGATACCACGTCACTCGTCATGTGTGCGTCAATTTGTGATATATCACCAACAACCTCGTGCCTCGTCAGCCGCCATGTCACCTACCATCTGATGTTCCATCACTTGTCACATATGCGACAACTCATGACATGTTATTATCCATCTTGTACTGTGTCATTTGCTTCTTACATGTTACATGTTCATTATATTTATACCTAAGTCAATGCTTGATCCCTTGACTTTCTACCTTCTAAATTTTATACTCTCATTCTTTATTAGTTGAACTAAAAAGTACCTGCAGTCATTACATGAGAAATTAAATATATATTATTTAACTATATAAATATCAAATAATATATTATAAAAATTTAGACACACATATTAAATTTTATTTTCAATTATTAATATGTTAAAAATATTTATATTTCATTTAAATTATTCTTTATATTATATTTTTAATAAAATATTATTTTATTAATAAAAATCAACTTAAAATATTTAATATTAAATAATAATATTATGAATATTTGATATTTTTAAATAAAAATAATTAAATATATAATTAAACATTATTGTCAAAAGTTAAATTTTTTTGCAGTAATTTTCTAATGATAGAATCTTTTGCTAAATTTTTTGCTATTTTTCTCAATAATTATCTTATTCTAAAGAAGGATTGATAGTTTCTTATTATTTTTCTTTCTAATTCTCTTATTTTAGGGAGGGATTGACAGTTCCTCACTATTTTTTTTATTTTAAGTCGAGCTATAAAATTAACATTCCTTGCTAATTTGATATTTTAAAAAGGAATAGATGATTTCTAGCTAAATTTTATTTCTAATTTACATTTTTTAATAGTTTCATGAGTGTCACCCAGTTGCATCTAAATTATGAAATTATATTACAACATAAAAAAGCTGAAATAATAGAACAAAAAATTGAGGGAAAGGGAGGACAGCAAAAGCATTTTGTGGGTTTTTGAATAATATATAAAATATAAAATTTAAGGAAATTCATGAGTTTGGTTCAATTTGATTTGGTTTGATTTTAAGGAAATACCAAATCAGACCAAATCAGTCAGTTCACACGATAATCTGGAACTTATTCAATTTTTCCATTTAACTGATTTGATTCATTTTTTGAACAATTTGGTTCAATTTGATTTAGGTTTAGATCAAGCTTGATTTTTTTTATAATCATCAATATATATTCATGTTCATAAATAATTTTTAACTATTAATTACTATTTGCAATGAAAAATCTCCTGAGCACAAAAAATATTTTTTAACAATTAATTAACATACTTTTTAATATTTTTTAAATATTAAAAATAATATATTATCATTAAACTAGTTAATTATCAAATTAAAATATTATCATAAACAATTGTAGATAACATTTAGCTAATTGCAATATATTTTTATTAAATATTTTCAAATAACTAAACTTAAAAATGGAGAAAAATCTTAGACACATTTACTAATATATATATATATATATAAAAAATAAATATAATAAATCTTGGTTTGATTTGGTAACCAAAACAAGCCAATTGGTTTTGTTAAATTAAAAAAAATCAAACTTTTTTTTATAATCAATTTTGATTAGTTAATGCCAAGTTGGTTCAATTTAGTTTGATATAATACATTTGAATTGGTTTTTAACAGTCCTAATAATAAACAACCATAACATATACTAACTCTGTTAAAAAATGTAAGGCATTTGTAATCGAATCTCACCTCCAATAAAGTAGTTACTTAATTTTTAACTAACTCTATCTTTTAATATTTATCCCTATTAAATAATAAATATAAAATTATTATCAATAGGATACTTTTGAAAGAAAGATAATAATCATATTTTAAAAGATTAAAAATAATTTATATTTTTTAATATTTAATATTTTAAAAAATATTTTATATTTTTAAATAGATGAAATATATATAATAATGCAATTTGGAAGGATTATGACATGCTAACGTCTTTCAATAGTGAGTGAATGATTTCAAGAGGAACAGTAACCAATGAGTAGCTTTCCAACAGACCACGTCCCCACCGAGCACAACTGCTAGTACAATATCAATTTAAGGGAATAAGAAAATCAAACCCCACAACCCAAAAAATAAAGAGAAATTATGTCTCTAGATTCTCTACGATGACTGTACATATATATGTAATAAAGAATTTAAATTTAGTGACTGTACTTAATATAAATATTAAATTTTTATGTTATTTGAGTCATTAAAATTTAAATCAATAATTCCGATACACTCACTTTTTTATTAATTTTAAGTGGGATATGAATTCATAACCATTGATTTAAATTTTAATCGTTTAGATAATACAAACACTCAATATCTGTATTAAGTATAGTCACTCAATTAATTTAATTATGAGAGAAGTTAAAATCCACACAAAATTATTCAATGTATAAATTAATTTTGCATTATGTATATGTTTCAAGAGAGAAAACTAACAATGAGCATGAAATAAAGAAGATATAAAACTTACACATGATCTTTTTTCTTTTCTTTTTTTTTTTGTAGATCATCATCATCCTGCTGATAAATGAATGGGAAAGAGGAAAAAGGAACAAAATGAACAATAAAGGAAAGGGACAAAACAGTAGCCGGAGGAGGTAGGAAGGAGTAAAAGGTTTTACAGAATCAAACATGTAATTAAAAACTTTCAAGAAAGCTAAGTGTTCACTAACGTCAATAAAGCATATGTCCACTGATAAATCTCTCCCACAGGATTCCAGAAAGGTCACAGCTAAATGGTTCATCGGCTTCAAATTTGTGCCTAATACGTGTTCAATATGGGGCCACACTTCCTTGTTCATGAGAAAAAGTGGAAAAGTCCGCGGCTGTCCCACGCCTTATACCCTATCCTGCATATCTGTCAAAGATCACTATATATATACACCCTCTTCGCTATCATCTAATTTCTATATATATATATATATATATTAATTGTCTATGTCTCCTTTGCGAATGTGTCTGGTACTATATACTATACTATGGATAGAAACCCTCCTCCTGCGAACTTGCCTCAACAAGAACAGCCTTCTGCTTCTTCGCCTTCTCCTTCTGTCCTACAAGTGCCTTCGTCTCATGAGTCTTCTTCGTCTCTGAGGACGCTGAGATCACCGGGCGGGTCGTCGTCGGGTCAGCACACCAGCAGGAGACACGCAACGTTCCGGGGAATCCGGAGCCGAAGCGGAAAATGGGTGTCGGAGATACGGGAGCCTCGTAAAACCACGCGCATTTGGCTGGGGACGTACCCGACGCCGGAGATGGCTGCGGCCGCCTATGACGTGGCGGCACTTGCATTGAAGGGGCCTGACACGACCCTGAACTTCCCCAATTTGATTCTCTCTTACCCGATCCCAGCGTCATTGTCGGCGGCCGATATTCGGGCGGCGGCTGCTGCGGCTGCAGAGGCGAGGCTGGTGAGGTCTGAGGAAAGCGGAGGACAGAACGCTGGAGAAAGAGGAGGAAGCCAAGCCGAGGGCTCGAGCCAGCCGGGAGAAGTGGCGGTGGAGAAAAGCGAGGAATTTATCGATGAGGACGAGCTATTGAATATGCCTAGTTTGCTGGATGACATGGCGAGGGGAATGCAGGTGAGTCCGCCGAGGATGAAGTCTCCGTACGCTTCCGATGATTCACCGGGCAATTCAGATCATGGAGATAGCCTCTGGAGTTTTTGAGCCCATTTGGGGGTTTTAGGCACAGAACTAGAGATTCTTGATTATATATAACTTGCTACCAGTAATAATTTTCTCGTGTTTGCCTGATTTTCGCCCTCGTGCTTCATCATTTTTTTCACTGCCCCGATCGTTGGCTAGCTGTGTACAGACAAGTTTCTAAGCCTTAGGGTCTCTTTCATCATTTCTGTGTTGTTCTGAGAAAGACAACGATTTTATGCAACGATCGTATCATTTGTTTGATATAGATCTGGAAGTTTATTAATTTCTCATCTCTTGGGTAATCAATTAACAGTCCTACGATCTAAATAGTTTCTGCTTTCGATTTGTTTGCGTGAGATCTGTACGTATGATTCTATGCATTAGTTTTGCCCTCAAGAGCCCAAGATTGTACTACTGGCCATAAGAGTGTTTAGGGTAATTTGTACCGCTAAAAGGATCTGTCCATATGGCGATGGATCAATCAAGCCTTTTGGTTCTTAATCAATCACCATAGGCACTGTCTGAGAACAATTGAACATCTTAGGTTCTTACTTGTCGGGTGCTATATATTAATGGAATAATGGTTTCTTCTTCTGCTCTGGATTCTAATTATTCATCTACTTGATTCTATGATTCTGGGTTTCATTCAACCTTGAAGAATGACCCCGACACCTAATTACCACGGCTGAGATATCCGAGGAGCAGTAAGGGAAGAAGACAAACAAACCCATAACTCTTCTTCTTCTCCTTTCCGTCTTCAACGGAATTAGGTTTCTGATTGAACAAGAAAACAAGAAGTGAGATGTATAATAAATGCAGCGATGAAGATCGAACACGCACCAGGATAGAATCTAACAGAGTCAGGTATGCATCTTGGGGGCGTACGTATTGCTTTTTGGCCGACTCATGTCGTCAAACTCGGCCGACAAGAAGCAAAGTTTGTGCCGGCCGTTATGGCAGAATGTTCAACCAACCTGCCTTTTTCAATGCGTTATTGCGTTTCCATTTGCAATTTGCAATACTGATATTTCTTCTTTGACAATGATGATATGATAAGGAGCAGATTTATGATCAGTAATTACTTAGCCGCTGCAAAACTGCCAATATTCTCAAGAGAGATCGAATGTCTGGACTTTAATCATCTCATATATAGTACTTAACATCACATTTAAGTGTTGCATACATTTTCCTGGTAACAGAGAATATGATGATTTATAGTACAGATAACTTGCTCAACCCGCCATTTTCATTTGAGGCATGAGTACTGATTTGCTTATTTATTTACTTGTTTTTATAGATACAATTGTTGTTAATTAACCTCGTATTATCTACATACATCTGTTTGATACTTTTGTCGCAGAGAATGAATCTCAGGACGGATCTGTGTGCTGAGGGATTATATTGACAGGCATGAATCATATATATCAAGAGTGAATGGTACTAAAGTGTACTTCCTTTCTTCTGCATTCATATTATTCTCTCTCCCTTTTTTTCTCTAATGTAGAAGTATTTATTATATACAGCCACTTTGTAACCGTAGATGTCGATTACTTCAGGTATATCAAGGCATTAAATTATGACTCCGGTGATCCTACATATTAAGTTTTTTGGTCTATTGATAAAAAAATTATATTGTATTTTACAAAAGAGTTGTACATTTCTTTTAACTTGTTTAAGCGCTGAACTTTCCAGCAAAACTTGGGTAATCAAATAAAACGAATCGATCTTTTATTTTTTATTTTTTAAATGCTTATATTAGGAGATTATAGTGTTTAACGTTCTGGAGAACTTGCACTTGTATATCAATCTCGTGATTTAAAATGAATGATGCAACACTTTTAAACTATCTTCTGATGAATCAGTTATACGTGACTGAGATCTGTAATTAAACAACCTTTTTTCCCCCTAAAAAAGGGAAATTGAAGTACAAATTAGTACATGACACTGAAATGTCAGTGCAATATTTCAAATAAATATATTTGTCAATTTACTAGTCACAGTTTACACGCGCAGGGTTATGGAAGATATCAATGCATGCTATTATATATAAAAACACTATTATTACAAGATCATTTTAATTGAAATGAAATTTAAAATATCTTCTCTGTGACCCCTTCAAATTAACATAATTTATGATTACTTTACTAATAGTTGATGCTAAGCTCTTTGAAGCGGAATGTCTACCCTATTCGAATATGATGATGGTTCAATTTAAGATAGTCTTGTCCATTTGCGAACAACACATTATCAGGTATACCAAAACGTTGAGTTTCAATTAATAATAAAAAAGTCTTGAGCCCCTTTACCACAGTTTACCTAAACGTAAAAGATACGCAAGATGTAATAGAACAAGTGTTTTTTATTATTACTTAAATGTAAAACAATTACAAGTCTAAATTATATATAAAGTTAATTATATTGATAAAATTAAAAACTATGGGTGTAGAATGCAAGATCCTGCAATGTACCACCGGCATGATGATGTTGCTCCTGCGAGATTCAGGATCATTTGATATCATGTCTTTTTGTACTAACGGTCCAGGGTTTATAAATGGCGAGATTTTGGCATGCTTATCATATCGTGACTTTCCATTGGGTTCGAGACCAACTTCTTTATTTATAATGTTGATTGGGCTTGATTCTTTAATTACTTAGCCCATATGGCTTTATGAGTTACCTAATATTTTAACAAACGACGTTTCATATTTAGCCTAAACAAATCTAAACAAAAAAGATGCAGGAACATTAAAACCAGTGTATGAAGGCAGATTAACGTTCATATATTCAAGATTAATCCAAAGCTAATAATGCTTCATTATTAGTGTTATGAAATCTTAATTGATCAGCATACTGAGGAACTTCTGTTGTCGACTTAATTTTATATTTCATGTTTGGATTGTTATCAGGGTCTTGTGGTGGGTGGAGCAGCAAAATGATCAGTTTTTTAATTATTACAACAAAAAGAGCTTTAATTTGCTCAATTTGACATCTAACAAGTTCATCCTGAAGAAAAATGAAGCTTACGTTAATACAAGTGGCTTGTCCATAATATTATGCTTGAATTTCATACGAAGGAAATTTTATGGAGAATTTGAACTCTTTAGTACTTGAGTAAATTATTGTTTTGACGCATTAATTCACCCAATATATATTTCCAAAATTTGTGATAAATAATATTAACTAATCATGCCCAAAATGTTTACACATCACCTCATATCCGATTAAAACTTCAATCTTTATCCTTTAATATTTTATATGTTTAAAAATGGAAGAATCACATTTAAAGACTATTTAAAAAAATTATTTATGAATAAAGATTAATATGTAATGAATTATTATTAAAAAAAATATAATTTTTTTAAATGAGATTTGTTGTTAGTCTTTATTTATAAATAATTTACTTGAATAATTTTTAAATGTGATTCTTTCTTAAAAAAAAAAAAGCTAGCACAGGGAATTTTAAAAAACCTTTGAATTGTCACACATGGTTTTGAAGCTCAATGTTTTCTATGCCAATTTCTAATCGGCATACTTAACCATAAATTAATTCGTTTACGTTGGCACCTCCTCAACATTCTTTAAATGTCGATCGATCGACCCCCATCAATAGTCAAAAATCACTAAAAGTCAAATCTTTAAAGATTCACTTTTGAAGTCTGACCAACAAGTTCATTAAAGTTCTCTAAATTACTCTAATCCTCTAAGAATTGGGTAGCCAGGGTAGGCCGACATATCTCTCATACTATTTGCAATAATCAATGAAAGAGGTTCTAGATCACTATCCATCAAATGCGAACTCAAATTTTTCTTGTATACAGATCCAGTGTATATTTCCTCAAATTATTGGTGTTAAGTGGGGCATTGATCGCGTATTAATCTTCACACATTAATTAATTCTCTTTAAAACTAAGAATGAAAAAATAGTAGGAAAGAAGAAAGGACATAAATTTTACATAAAGGTAATGATAAGACAAGATGAAAGCAAAGGGTGGGCCAGAAGTCATATAATAATTAAAGAAAAGAAAAGAAAAGAGGGTTTTTTTTTTTTTCACTGACAAAAAGAAAAGAGGGTATGTTGGATTTTATGTGCAGATTAGATTTGGTTCACTTCACCTGGTAAACTTAGATATTAATTAAGACACTGTACATGTTCAGAGAGAAGAGAACTATTCCAAAAGCGGCTACCCAATCAACAGACTCAGATTAATAATTAAGGAACTCTCAATATCTGAGACTTATCTTCTTCGTTGTCATCTTCTGCGAGATATTTAATTCATTTCACTATCTGAAACTAACGAACAGGAGAAGAGAACATGGAAAGAATTGAAATCCATGTTCACGCAGGAATTTTTTTTTGAAATATTGATGATATATATTGATATGTGATGTTAGGCATCGCCATCCATAATACAAATTTTGACTTGATTGCTCAGCAATTCTCTGAGACTGAGTGGTCATCTCATTGCAATTCAGACATTGCCGTATGCAGATATTAATCAGAGTTTTGACGTCAGATATTAATCAGAGTCACTAATTCTTAATGATAATAAAAAAATGACAATAAAAAAAATGACGATACATGTATAATTGATGAAAAATACACTTCATTGGATCTCTTAATACTAGAAATAGTCATATCACCAATAGTGATCTCTTAATACTAGAAATGTCGATATTAATCAGAGTTTTGACGTCAGATATTAATCAGAGTCACTAATTCTTAATGATAATAAAAAAATGACAATAAAAAAATGACGATACATGTATAATTGATGAAAAATACACTTCATTGGATCTCTTAATACTAGAAATAGTCATATCACCAATAGTAATTGGGTTGGATGGAAGAAATTTGATTTTTTTTTCCCCTTGATTTATTAGGTCAAAGATTTAAACTTTGCAGATGGGGAAAAAAATCATGTGGAAAGAGCTTCTTTAACTAAACAGATAATAATTGAACCCAATTTTCTGAATCCCTAATAAATATATTTTAAAAAAGCTATATCCCATTTGTCCGTTATTCGTTTAAAGTTAATCTCTTTTAGTGCCGGTATCTCCTTTTCTTTTCTTTTTGCTGTCTCCCATATCTCTGTGCTTAACTTTTTATGCACAATAAACTCAATTGTTTCCACAATAGACACTGTTTTTCTAATCAAGGTGCCAATTGTTGTGTATTGTGTAATTTGAGGCGGCAGTGAATTAATTATTCTTTGCTTTCTAATCATCTGTTTTAAGAAATTGTTTCACAACAAACATATTTTTATAATTATTTAACGTTAGAGT